GCCATTACATAGAACTTCTATCAAAAGCTTGAAGATAGACTCTGTGCCTGTAGCTCAGCGGCTTTGGCGCCACCCGTATACACTGGAGCTGGCAGGTTCAAACCCAGCCTGGGTCTGCCAAACAGCAATGACATTTACAACCAAAAAATAGCTGGGTGTTGTGGTGGGTGCCTGTAGTCCCAGCTACTTGGGAGGCTGAGGCAAGAGAATCGCTTAGGCCCAAGAGTTGGGGGTTGCCGTGAGCTGTGATGGCACGGTACTCTGCCAAGGGCGACATAGTGAGACTCTGTCTCAAAATACATTAAAAAAAAGAAAGTCAAAAGACAACTTTGATTCTAGACTTACAATATACCTGAAGCTTGTTCTTACATGCTAGCCTAAAGGAAATAAAATAGTAAATTGGACATAAGACTCCAAATCAAAGAAAGGAAAAGTAAAAGATTTGTCCTTGTTGGATTAGATTTTTGGTGGTGACTAAAAAGACTTAGCTGGAATGAAATAGGGACAGGAAAAATAATGGTAGAGTTAGGCAGAAAGGTAAACGAACCAAGAAGTGACGGAATGCTTCTGTTTCTAGAGCCAAATGGGATTCCTATTTACATAATGGAGGGACATGTTTCATTATAGAAACATTTATGAAGTGGGCATATGGCCACTAAAATTCATTATTTTATGAATTTCTTTGTTTTATAGAGTCCATTTTTTAAAACTTCAGGCTTTTAGAGAAATTCAGTGAAATATAACTACTTTCTTTATGCCTACTGTTGTTGTAGCTAGGCTTTTATAAGATATATGTATATATTCTTAAGCAGTATGTTAAAGAGGAGTATTTCCTCTTGAGATTGTTGATCCATGTTTTTTGATTGTTTGTTTGTTTTGTTTTTTGAGATGGAGCATCATCAGCCTAGCTCACAGCAATGTCAGACTCCTGGGTTCAAATGATGATCCTCCTGCCTCAGCCTCCTGAATTGCTGGGACTAGAGGTGTTTGCAACAATGCTCAGTTCATTTTTTCTATTTGTAGTAGAGACAGGAGTTTCACTCTTGCTCAGGCTAGTTTTGAACTCCTAAGCTCAAGCAGTCCTCCCACCTTGCCCTCCCAGTGCTAGGATTAACAGGTGTGAGCCACTGCACCTGGTCTATCCATGTTTTTCTTTTTTTTTTTCTCTTACAAGGTCTTGCTCTGTTGCCCAGGCTGGAATGCAGTGGCATTATCTAACCTCACTGGTATCTCAAACTCTAGTGGACTCTGGTGATCCTCTTGCCTTAGCCTCTTGAGTAGGTGGGACCCTAGATGTATGCTACCACACCTATTTTTAGTAGAGATGGGTTTTTGCTTTTGCTCAGATTTTGAATTCCTGAGCTCGTGATCCTCCTGCCTTGGCCTCCCAGAGTGCTAGGATAACAGGCATGATCTAATTTTTTTTTTTTTTTTGAAACAGAGTCTCACTATGCTGTCCTCAGTAGAGTGCTGTGGTGTCACACCTCACAGCAACCTCAAACTCTTGGGCTTAAGTGATTCTCTTGCCTCAGTCTCCCAAGTAGCTGGGACTACAGGTGCCCACCACAATGCCCAGCTATTTTCTGTTGCAGTTGTCATTGTTGCTTAGCTGGCCCAGGCTGGGCTTGAACCCATCGCCTTTGGTGTATGTGGCTGGCATTGTAACCACTGTGCTATAGGCACTGAGCCTCTTTTTGTTTTTATAGTGATAGGTTTTCGTATTCTTTGTATTAGCTGAATTATAGACAAGTAAAGTTGCAAGAATCAGATAACCTTTTAGTCTTGAATGAAAATTTATAAATTAACAATTGGAATGAGATTTAATGGTAGTGAAGTCATTGACTCATTAATACTAACAGAAGCTATTTTGTCACAGATTGTCATTTTGGTTGATTTTCATTTAAAATTATGACAGCATCATATACTATGTTGATATTCATGGAATTACAATATGTATCTTAATAATTAATTATCCTTATATTAAGATTCACTTTTGAATTTAAGACCTGTAGAGATGCTTGTGACCTATAAGCCCTTTCATGTTTTATATGAAAAAATCCATCATTTTTCCCCAACTATATTATAGCATGTATATGTATGTCTACACACATACCTACATATACACCTATTTGTTTAATAGCTGTGCAGATACTGTGGTGGTACTTGAGGTGATATTTGGATTCCTTTTGTAATATCTCTTTTATTTTGTTCATCCTTTAGTCCTTCTTTTAGGAGGGTGTCTACATCTGAACAAAGATTCTTCTCACCATTTATTGTAAATAAGTAGTATGTCAGTATTTTTTTAATTGATGTTTACAAATACATGAGAAAGTTATTTCTTTTAAGATCATGGAGGACACATTGTTGCAGTTGTATTTTAGCTTGTGGGTTTTGAGAACATTTTTATTTTTATTTTTTAGAAGAGCCTCTGTCATTCAGGCTAAAGTTCAGTGGCATCATCATAGCTTACACAAACTCCTGAGCTCAAGGGATCCTCCTGCTTCAACTTCCCGAGTAGCTACACCTGGCTAATTTTTCTTATTTTCTGTAGAGACAGAGTCTAGCTATGTCTTTTAGGCTGTCTCAAATTCCTGGAGTAATCTTTCAGGCTTCCAAAGTGCTAGGATTGTAGATGTGAGCCCCGTGCCTGGCCTTGAATTTGTTTTTAAAATGTGATTTCATTCTTCTGTGATAGCAATGTTGCTTTTACTGGTGTAGTTAAACCTTTTGTTTAGACTAGAGTTTCACAACATTGGCTCTGTTGATATTTTGGGCTGGAAAGTTCTTTGTTATAGGGGTTGTCTGTGCATTGTAGGATCTTTAGCAGCATCCCTAGCCCCTACCTAGAGGTATCCTTTCCGAAAGTCATCACACTATTATTTTCAAATGGTAACAATTACTGATTTAGACCATAATGGTTAGTCCAACTATTTATACATAGTGTTTTGGTAGAAAACAAAGTTCCTAGCTTTGTGGATTTGTTGCAACATTTTCTGCTTTGATAGATACTTACTTTATTATATATTATATAATTTCAAAGACACTGTTTTGATATGCACTTATTTTCCCTGGATGTAGTAGTTTTGAGAGGAAAGAAATTTAAGCAACTGTGTATTATATGTATATATATATTTTGAAATGCTTCTCTGAATTATTTCAAGACTTCAGAAGCAACCTGGTAGATGTAAGAATAGTAGAAATGTGCCCAAACAAAAGTATAGCAACGTGGACAGTATTTCAAATACAAATAGTACTGCCCACAAGCTAACCCATACCATCAGGTCAAATGGGTTAGTATTCAATGTCTTTTTTCAGTTATTGTGTATTCATTTAGTTAATTCAGCTAACATTTATTGTACACCTGCAATATGTTAGGCATTATTCTTAATGCTGGAATGCAGCACAAAACAAAACTAAATGAAAATGTGTCCTCTAGCTCGGCACCCCATAGCCCAGTGGTTATCACACCAGCCACATACACCAAGGGTGGCAGTTTTGAACCCGGCCCAGGCCAGCTAAAAATTGCAACAAGAAAAAAATAAGACGTTGTGGCAGGTGCCTATAGTCCCAGCTTCTTGGGCAGCTGAGGCAAGAGAATCGCTTAAGCCCAAGAGTTTGAGGTTGCTGTGAGCTGTGATGCCACAGCACTCTACCAAGGGAGACATACTGAGACTCTGTCTTTAAAAAAAAGAAAAAAAATCTGTCCTCATAGGCTGAAATTCCAAAGAGGGTAGGGGAGGTGGAGAAATAGATAATAAAATAGATGTCTGTATGGGTATGTTAGATGATAAATGCTACAGAGCTAGAGAGGATGTTAGGTAGAATTTGTTGGTGTTGGTATAATTATCATGTTGATAATATTACTTTTATTTTTTTTAGTTGATATACATGATTTTCTAAAGTCCTGTTCTTTGAATGCTTTGGTTATTAAAATTTTCTATCCAATTACAAAATCAAACTATTGGGGGCTGGGTAGTTTAATTATGATATAATTTCTATCCAATTATAAAATCAAACTACTGGGGGCTGTAGCTCAGTGGTTAGGGCGCCGGCCACATGTTCCAGGGCAGGTGGGTTCGAACCAGGCCCAGGCTTACTAAACAAGAACAAAAAAATGACTAGGTGTTGTGGCAGGTGCCTATAATCCCAGCTAATTAGGAGTCTGAGGCAAGAGAATCACTTGAGCCCAAGAGTTGAGGTTACTGTCTATGACTTCACGGCACTTTACCGAGGGTGACAAAGTGAGACTCTGTCTCAATAAAAAAATAAAATTAAATTAAAATAAAAGTACTGGGACATTTGGGTGGATGGTCGGTAATATTACAAAATATGGAAAAGTTTTTTTGGTTACATTTTATGTATGTATGTATATATTTTTTGAGATAGAGTCTCCCTTTGTTGCCCTCGGTAGAGTGCCATGGAGTCATAGCTCACAGCAAACTTAAACTCTTGGGCGCAAGTTATTTTTTCCCTGAGCCTCCTGAGTAGCTGGGACTATAGGTGCCCACTGCAATGCCTGGCTGTTTTTAGAGACCACTTGCTCAGGCTGGTCTCATGTGAGCTCAAGCAATCCACAAGTCTTGGCCTCCCAGAATGCTAGGATTATGGGCGTGAGCCACTGCACCCAGCCTTGCATTTAAAATTTTAAGCAAAGCTCATGAGACTACAGCTTTTCCTGATAAACTTTTTAGAGTAGTGTCATTTTTCCTTTTATCTTTCTTTTTTTTTTTTTCTTTGAGACAGAGTCTCAAGCTATCTCCATGGGTTGAGTGCTGTAGTGTCATAGCTCACAGCAACCTTCAACTCAGGCTCAAGAGATCATCTTGCCTTGTTTTTCTATTTTTAGTAGAGAGGGGGTGTCTCACTTTTGCTCAGGCAGGTCTCAAACTTGTGAGCTCCAGCAGTCTACCCAAGTTGGCCTCCCAGAGTGCTAGGATTACAGGCGTGAGCCACCATGCCCCACAAAACTAGTGTTATTTTTCAGAGATGGCCAACATCATGAATCTTTTACCAAGAATTTTTCTAGTAAATTGATTTTAAGAGCTTCAGAAAAATGTTAAGTTAAATATAATTAGGTTGACTTGGCACCTATAGCTCAACCGGCTAAGGCGCCAGCCAGGTACACCTAAGGTGGCGGGTTCGAATCCCCAGCCCGGACCCGCCAAAACAACAATGATGGCTGCAACCAAAAAAAAAAAAAAAAGCCGGGCGTTGTGGCAGGCGCCTATGGTCCCAGCTACTTGGGAGGCGGAGGCAGGAGACTCGCTTGAGCCCAGGAGTTGGAGGTTGCTGTGAGCTGTAATGCCATGGCACTCTACCCAGGGGGACAGCTTGAGGCTCTGTCTCAAAATAAATAAATAAATAAATAAATAAATATAATTAGGTTGATTTTCACTACTGAAGCAATAAATTACTTCATTTTCAGAGTATTTTTGAGCAATTGCCTCACCTAGATGGAGTTCTCATCAATCAGAGAGGTTAATACAGGCCTAGTTTCTGTTAATGTATACTCATTGGCATGATAAACACAGGCCTAACTATAGTCATAAAATTCACTTGAAAAACAGAAAAGCAACATCGATTTATAAGAGACAAGAAATGGAAGACCTTTTAATATAGTCATACTGATACCGCTGAAGTTAATCATTCTTTTCAAGATGTCAGAGGAAGAAGAAAGTCACTCATCCTATTCTTTCCTTGTTTTCTCATTCATGCAAGTGGAAAGGTTATTGAAAATAATAGCTCCTCAATTTGCATCTTTGCCCCTTAGTGGCTCATATTGGCTGGCATGGCCATTGCACTTGGACTCTTACAGTTGGTGCTAGTTTAGAAACACAAGTACTCTTTTCTGCTCCTCCCTGTTCTTGGCTTTCCATCCCTTCCCACCCCTTCCTACTCTATGCAGAGGGGGGAAAGAAAAGGAACACTAGTACAGTCAGGCAGGCGACAGTAAAGTGAGAATTAAAACTGGGGTCAGTGAGTAATAGATGAAGAAAACATTCTTCAGCAATTGAGAGTTTGAATTCCTTTTTTCCATCTCCCCTTCGCCAACTTTTCTTCATTTAATAAGTCAAATGCCAACCCCTAAGGCATATTTGGCCTTTAGTAGAGGAAGTGAAAAGGTTTTGAATAGTTGTAGTAAAAAGGTGATGTGGGTGGAGTAATGTGAACTTGGCAAAATATCTGAGTCTTGCTGTTTACTTTATTAAAAAAATGCCCCATCATTATGTTTTATAGATTATAATAACGAAGATGAATTTGGAAGAAAGTTGAAGTTCCTCTTGCAACAGCTTCCACCTGTTAATTATAGTTTGTTAAAGTTTCTGTGTAGATTTTTAGCCAATGTAGCATCACATCACGAAGAAATTTGGTCTGCAAATTCTTTGGCTGCCGTCTTTGGTCCAGATGTCTTTCAGTAAGTTGGTTTAAAATTTTTGTTTAAAAAAACTGGATTTGTGAAAAAGAATCATATTATCTTCCAAGGATCATAGGTTGCTTGATGAACCATTTTAAAAATAGTAGATCTCATTAATTTCTCATAGCATTTTTATGAACAGGATACAAATTAAGTAGATTTTATAGATGGGAAAACTGAGGCACAGAATGATGATGTAAATTGCTCAGGTTCATGAAATGGTTCATTGGTTGTCTTCTGACTTTGAATTGGTTTAAGAACTGAATTCAATTTGGACTTTTATTAGCATTTATACAGATGTGGAAGATATGAAAGAGCAAGAAATAGTGAGCAGGATAATGGTTGGACTTTTGGAAAACTACTATGAATATTTTGAGAATGAAGAGGAAGATTTTTCATCTAATGATTTGAGTTCAATTACTGAACAGGTGAGAATATTTTAAGTATTCTATTTGAAGGGAAAATTTTTTGTTGAGAATAATATGTTCTTCAAGGCTTGACAACAACTTGTGTAGAATTTAAGTACTAAATTGAAATTAATTCTCTTGGTTATTTTATGTAAATCAGTAGGTGACATCCATGTAGTATATGTATGTGATTTATTTTTTGAACAATTTCCTGTCCTCAAGAATTTGGGTAATAAGGAAAGGCATTGAAATTAGTATACAGTAGAATTTTTTTGTTTTTCAGTTAAACATTTATTTTTTAAGAATAGTACAGTTTTTTATGTTTGCAAAGAAACTGCTAGCATGGAGAAATGTAGGCAAAAGGTGAGAAATTTAAGTTGGAGGAAAAGATTTGTGTAAATTTTTAAAAATTCATAATTTTCTCTTGACTAAAATAGAAGTCAGTGTAGTATAGTATATAATCATTATTAATGAGATGCATCTGGAGATGAGTAGTTTAATAGTGGCAGGTAATTTTTTAATTCTGATGGCTCTACAATATTAAAAATCTATTTCTGAGGTTACATTACAATCTTTTGTTGTAACTGCTATGCTTTATGGTTGAGACTATATAAGGATCCTAGTTATATTGAAGATAAATAGTTACAACTTACTTATTATAAAGCCATATTAGTAAGTTTAAAATATATGTGGAGGCTTTTCCTTTTTTTTTTCTTTTTTTGAGACAGTCTCACTATGTCACCCTGGGTATAGTGCCGTGGTGTCACAGCTCACAGCAACCTCAACTCTTGGGCTTAAGCGATTCTCTTGCCTCAACTTCCCAAGTAGCTGGGACTACAGGCACCTGCTACAACGCTATTTGATGTTATTGCAGTTGTCATTGTTGTTTAACAGGCCCCGGGGCTGGGTTCGAACCCACCTCGGTGTATATGGCTGGTACCCTGACCATTGAGCTGTGGGCACCGAGCCAGTTATTTATTTTTATTGTTACTATTTTTTGAGACAGAGTCTCACTGTGTCACCCTTGGTAGAGTGTCGTAGCATCACAGCTCACAGCAACCTCAAACTCTTGGGCTTAAGTGATTTTCTTGCTTCAGCCTCCCAAGTAGCTGGGATTATAGGCACCCACCACAACACCCAGCTATTTTTTGTTGCAGTTGTCATTGTTGTTTAGCTGGCCTAGCCTGGGTTCGAACCTGCCACCCTTGGTGTATGTGGCTGGTGCTGTAACCACTGTAGGGGTGCTGAGCCCTGTTTTTTTTATTTTTTAACAAGAAAGTAGCATATTATACACATGTTTCTGCCCCCTGTTTTCTATCATCAGTTAACAGTGTATCTTGGAGATATTCTTGGAGTATAGAGAGGACATTCTTTTGTGTTTATGACTTTATAGTTCCCTATTGTGTGGATAGAACCCTGTAATTTATTTGATTTACAGTATCAGTCCCCATGTTATAGTTTTCTCAGGAAAGTCTTGGTTTATATCTGCTTCTGGTATAACTAGTAGTTCCCCTATTGCTCATATATATGCAGATTTGGATGATAAATTATACAGTCACATTATCTGTCTATCTGCTAACTTTTATTTTTGAGACAGAGTCTCGTTTGTTGCCCTGGGTTCAGTGTCATGATGTCATAGCTCCCAGCAACCTCAAATTCTAAGCCAAATAGATCTTTTGCCTCAGCCTCCTATGTAGCTGGGACTTGCAGTGCCTGCCACAACACCCCGCTAGTTTTTCCATTTTTAGTAGAGACTGGGTCTTGCTCTTGCTCAGGTTGGTCTTCAATTTCTGAGCTCAGGTGATCCACCAACCTCAGCTTCCCAGAGTGCTGGGATTACAGGGGTAAGCTATTGTGCCCATCCTGGTCACACTATCTATTGATGGATACTTGGGTTGCTTCCTTTTATTTGCTGTGGGATTATAAATCATTAGCTCTTGAGAGGTAGTTTATCATACAGTTTTTTGTTAGTTCTCTGATGGTTCTTGTATTTGATTACATAAATTAGGATATATATATTTTCTGGGTAGCCCAACTTTTATACTTCCATGAATTTTTGTGGGTAAAACTTTTTAACCTTTGGAGTTGGTACCTTACACGGTTTTTCAGGTTTTCTTCATATAAGCATTTTGTTTATCTTTGATTTTCTCTTTCTGTCTCTTTCTCTTCACATCTTCCCTTTTACTTTCCCTCTTCCTCTTCCTGTCCCTGACCCAAAGTTAGGAACTTTGAAGAAATAACAGATGCCACATTATAACTTGTAACATACAAACTGAGGATGAAATAGCTATGTATGTATGAATTAAATCAAGTTCGTAGAATTTGTAGTCTAAAGCAGTGGTACGTGAAACTTCTGTCACATTTTCTTGAAAAGTTCTAATTATATACCATTCCTGACCTAAAAGTTGGTTAAAATAATGAACTAATACATCTCTTCAAAATTATTCTTATTTGAAAGAAAATGACAAGAGGACAAATCAATAGGTATGCCTTAAAACATTTTTTTTTGAGACAGTGTCTCACTCTGTTGTTCTAGGCCAGAGTACTGTGGCATCAACCTAGATCACAGCAACCTCAAACTCTCCTGGATTCAAGTGATCCTCCTGTCTCAGCCTCCTGAGTAGCTGGAACTACAGGCATCTGCCACAACACCCAGCTGTTTTTTTCTATTTTTAGTAGAGATGAGGTATCATTCTTGGCCAGATTGATCTCGACAGCTGAGCTCAAGTAATCCTACTGCCTTGGCTTCCTAGAGTGCTAGTATTACAGGAGCAGCCTGCCTCAAAACTTTAATGTCTTTTGATTCCTAAAAGAAATGTCATCTAGTGGTATATAAGGGTTCATTGTACCTATAATTCTACCACTTAGAGAGGCTGAGGTAGGAGGATCACTTGAGGTGAGGAGTTCAATACGAACCTAAGCAAGAGTGAGACCCCGGCTCGGCGCCTATAGCTCAACCGGCTAAGGCGCCAGCCACGTACACCTAAGGTGGCGGGTTCGAATCCCCAGCC